GTGACTTAATTAGTTTTTTTCTTTCTTATAAGTATAATCATTATAGTATTTTTAGTTTTTACAAAATGAATGTTAGGTTTTATTTTAGTTAAAAATTGATACAGGTATTAAATTTAATTCGTGTTAAAACAGAACATTACTGTATTACAGTATTCAAGATATGGATGTATTTTTTTTCAAAATGATTCAAAATTATAGTGGGTGATGTAAAGTAAGGCTAGGTGTTATAGGTTTAAAGTAAGGCTAGGTGTTATAGATGCTTTATTCACTTATCGATAACTTTTAATAGTTCTTTCTTATCGAAAGATAAAATATTCTGCTTCTGTTTCACATATGCCAATATTAAGATAAATAATGAACATTTGTTATAATTTTTTTTTTATGGATAAATTTAAAATTAGTTTTAATAGTAAAATATTTCTTGCCGGATGTTTATTACACGTGATTGTTTTTGCTATATATAAGATTTGATATTTTCCTAATTAATTATTGGTTTTATTTACAAATCGATGATAAAACAAATATCAGTTTCGATTACGAATTATTTGTTATGATTCAAAAGAACTCACGATTTGTTATTGTGTGTGAATGAAATTAAATTTTTATCTTTTACAATTGGTGTATAAAATTTGTTACGGTCATGGAAGTGAATTATATAAATTATAGCCGATTTAGATAAAAAAAATAAATTTTAATTATAATATTTGAATTGCACAGAATGACAAATCCTTCTTATTATTAATATCAATAGTGCTCTTTTGTACTATTTTAAATTTTTTTCCAAACAAATAAAAATTATTGGCAGCAGGACGACGAAAATATTTTTTTTAGTTTTTTTAGGTCATAATAAATTTACTTACGTTTTAAATCATGGTTAAATTAGTACAAGTACTTTACAAAAAAAAATCCTGAACAAATAAAGTATAAATAATCTTGACAATTTCAGTTTATAATAAATGTTATAAGTAAGATTAGTTAAAATATAATAAGAACATGTAAAGATTCTGGAAATTTCCGACGGAAGAAACAATAAGCCTAATAAGAATTTAGTTAAGATCTAATGTGATTCTCGTCATATTCGGCTGAGAATCTATTAATTAGTTAGAATCTAATGAAAACCCAAGGGATTCTAGTGGTAATTGACTGGTGATTACAGGTTGGGAAATACAATTTTAGTCGATTAAATAGACCCTTAGTTCAAAGAACTTTAAGTAATTTTTATTTTGTTTAAAAATTTGAAAGTACTGAATAGCGCTCAGTCAAAATTTGAATATACACAATTACAACTTATTATTCAAGGTGTTGATTAAAAGTCTTATTATCTTGTATTGTAATCATTATAATGTATTGTATTTTGTGATTTCATAATAATATTAATTTTATTTTGTTTTAGCCCTACATGGAGACCCCGAAGATGCATATCCGAGCTTATCGGATTTCCACGACTATGAACCAAACTTAGAATTCGATGATACTGAATTGCAACATCCTACAGGAGTCGATGCAGGTGAATATAATAATTAATAATAATTAATTTAATTAGTCAAAAATATAGAATCCACTAGACGCGAGTCTTCCGCCAAAGCTTTCTTGTTAATTTATACTATAATATCTGGACATGGTTAAACTATTTAATAAATTACTTAAAATTAATATATGATTAGAAATAAGATATTTTACTAATTATGTAATGCTTTTTTCAGTATCTATGAACATATGAGTTATTTTATTTCAAACACATCATACCAAGTTTATTTTTTCAGTAGACTTTAATTAGCTAAATAAAATTATTCAAAGTAAAATATTTTTTTAATATTATATATACTGATAAATGCAACAGATGGCAATTGATATAAGTGTATAAATTATACATTATCCTACGGGCAGTGGAAAAGTAAATGATTTTATTTACATAAGCCTCTGTAGCATTAGTATTTCAATATGATGGCTTTAAATAAACTAGTTGAAAGTGGCATCTAGCCTTAAGGCAAATTGCGTTAGGTGTTATAATTGACTTAATCAAGCAAAATTGATTTTTGGATATTCAGATAAAATTTTCTACTGCGTATATCATGCACGTAGCCCTCAATATTATTTAATGATTTAAACTAGTGCATGGCATCGTGTCTTAAGACAAATTGCTGGAACTTCCCCGTACCAGAATTAAATCTTTGAAGGAAAAAAATCAGTAATAAATAAATATTGATCAATGATTAATAACCATTGTTTTAAACATTTTTAAATAGATAATTAAAATTACTATATATATTCATTCGTTCATATATTATACAGTGACGATCTTATCGCTCAAAGCACTTGAGAAAGTTTATCTTAGCAAGAGGTGCCGCATAAATTCATCTGAGGATATATTTCTTACGATTAGAATACCACATATGAAATATATACAATTTTAAACTGAAATAAAAATTTAGAATTCAAATTTAGAATTACAGGTATATTTATATGTATATGTATATTTGTAAATTTGTAAATTTTGAAATTTATTTGAACTGTATAAGTGAACTTTAAAAATCTTGGTACGGAACGCAAAAAAAAAATGTAACAAAATTAGTTCTCATGTTTAAAATCCTTATAAAATATCTGATAATTTGAAGTGCATATGTCTAATGATCATTTTAGACCGCCAAAAATTGTATTCAAACATACACACACCCACACACACGCATATATCAATTTTTTCTAATGTATGCCAAAATTTTCAGAAACCTCTAGTAACTTCTATCTAAATCGCTAAATCTCAATTTTTATTAATTATTTACACATATCGGAAAGTTGGCTTAAGGCAAAATGCCACTTACACCTAATTCTTTTTATTCGATAAAGTGTCTGAACATTTTTAACACAACGCAAATGCAACTATACTAGTTTCCGAACAAAGATTTCCGCACGCACACCATGCAGAATGTCTTTGAAAATTTCAATTTTGTATGGAAACAGGTATAGTACTCGAGTTCGTTCTGCACTATACTACATTCCATAACGAGATTTCATCGTACTTACTACGCGAGATGTCTGAAGAAATACAATATTTGTATGGAATTTAGTATACTGCACACTTTTTAGAGAAAAGTACGTGGAAGAAAAATATGAATAGTTCTTGATTATCATTGATTAAGTTGATTATGGGGAGTTTATGCAACTTGTCTTTAGGCAAAATGCCATTTATAACTAGTTTAATTTTATTATTATTAATAATAATTAAATGCAACTATTTTTCTAGGTATTATCGATTACATTGCCCCTCTGAGTACAAATAGTGGAAGCGGTGATTACTTAGAAAGTCCCATGAGCGACGGAACAATAGAAGAAAATTTCGAAGAAATGATACCACAGGTAAATATTTGTAATTTTTAAACTTTTCAAAATGAAAGACGACTGAAAAAATAGTTATGTTATGTTTCTTTGGTCGAATAATCGCATGAGTAGGTAGTCAAGAACAAAATATCAACTTCTAAAACCTAACCTCCAAATGGCACAAACCTCAGAACGTTAACATTAGTTCAACTTCACTAATGTTAATGAAATTTGTGCCATTTGGAGGTTACGTTTCAAAAGTTGATATTGTGTTCGTGACTATCAATGCAACATAATTATTTTATCTGGAGAACTAGTTCCTTACAATTATTCTTTTAACTAAGAAATCATATTTCTATTACCCCAGGTTACAGAAACAGACGACAGCTTGCCTTATATAAATAATCAAGAGGAGGAAACAAATATATCGGAAGAGACCAAGAAACGTTTCGAAGAAATTGCAAATTATGGAGTCATCGAAGTAGTTGGTGATGACACGGCTGGACGTAAAACTATAGTTGTCTACGCTTGCAGACTGCCTGCCAAGGAAGTTCTTAATTTACAACTTCTTTTAGAGTAAGTGATAATAATAAACATTTTTTTAACTTCCCGTAGAGTAAGTTATAATAACGAGCCGTAAATCGAAAATGAAAATTTTTGCATATCTTCACGTTTTGAAGGTTTCTGAACATTTTGGCATATCTCAGAAAAAAATGGATGTGTGCGTATATGTTTGTATGGATACAATTTTTCATCCACGTTTTCGGGCGCACGGATCAACCGATTTGAATGGTTCAAAAAACATTCGATTCCCATTAATAGGAAGACGTGCTGATTAGTTTTGGGCAAAGGCAGGTCGAAATAGAAATCGAGTTTTTGAGAGAACAGAGCATCCGATTTGAATGATTCAAAAAACTTACTGCTTGTTTTAGCAAAATAATTGCTTTTGGAAAAAAAAATGTCAAAATTTAATTTTTTTTTTGTATATCGAAAGTAATTCTGATTTTAATTTCAATTCAGTTTATATAATTCTTATAAATAAATATTAGAATTCTTATAAATAAATATTAAATAATAATCTATTTGAAAACATTTAATATTCCTCGAACATTTTGTTACGGTACTCGAAGTTCCAGCAGTTTGCTTTAACGCACAATGCCATACACCACTAGTTATATCTTTTTTGAAATATGATTGTCAGTAGAGTTACTTTTTTATCTCCTCATATTTATAAATAATTTGGCTTATCAGTAGAGTCCATTTTACATTTTTTTTCAGGCCTACTCGTCAGTAAAGTCCCTTTTTAATTTTTTTATGTCTTAAATTTTAGTATGCTCTCCAGTAGTCGTTCTTATATAAATTTTTTTAAATTTTTATTTGCATACTTATTATTTATTTTGCTCGTCAGTAGAGTCTCTTTACATCTCTTCATATCTATAATTAATTAATTTTTCAAAACGACAGTAGATTTATATTTGTAGTTTTATATTTTCTTTCTTTTCCAGTTTCTTTTTCATCTTTTCATGTCTTAATTTATTCATATTGATCGTCAGTAGAGTCGCTTTTATATCTTTTTTCAAATGTGCTCGTGAGTAGAATTACTTTTTTATCTTCTGATGTCTTCTGATACATCTATAATTTATTTTGCTTGTCAGTAGAGACCTTTTATTTTCTTCTTATTTGACGAATTTCAAATTTTGACTTATCACAATACAAAAGCCACTTTTGACACAAATTTTGACTATGATATTTTTCCAAACTTTGGTGAATTTTTAAAATTATAATTTGTCGTAGAACCGTAACATTTTAATATGTTCTTCAGGGCCGTGATATCTATCAACATAAAGTTTTATCGACATTTTTTTTTTTCACTAATAGTTAATTGCGAAGAAACTGCTCGGCCGATCTTTACCAAAAACTAATTTGTATCATTCTCAACCAATATCTTTCGAACGGGTTTTGAATTACAAAATCGATTCAGAATTTTTGGCTAAAACGTCGACGGAAGATTTTACACTTTTTGCTATTTACAAAAAAAGGCTTGGCTGATCGTTGCACAAAACTGACAAACAATAGTCATCAACGAGATACATTGAATGGCTTTTAATTTTCGAAATCGGTCCAGCCGTTTTTGAGAAAACATCGATTTACGGCAAAAAATCTGTTCACACACACACAAACACACACACTTTTTCCAATTAACGGTCCCATTCGATTCAGAACGTCTTGAAACGTCGAGAAAAGATAAAATTAGCGATTCGGGTTTTTTGATGAAAACAAACTTCTTCGGGAAGTTAATAAACAAAATCTAATCAAGCGGAGTTAGAATGAAGGACCTTATCTCATATTTTTAAGAAATATATAAACTGAATTGCAAAATCAAAAATATTTATTTGAAGTATATAAGTGAGCTTTAAAACTTTAGCTAGAATTGAAGTGAAATCCAAATTATTTTCAATATTGAAACAAAAAAAACATTTTTTGGGAATTAAAATAGAAATTTCGAAATCAAATACAAAAACTATTATTTTTCCAAAAACACAATTGTTTCTTCGCTGTCAACGTAAGCAAAATGTTTCTTGAATCATTCGAATTGGATGCTCTGTTTCCTTAAAAACTGCAGTTTTTAACACTTTTTGTTCAGAATCTCCCAAACGGGTGGAACCACCTTTGACAAAAACTAATCAGCACATCTCTCTATCAATAGGAATCGAATGTTCTTTGAACCATTCAAAACAGTTGATCCGGGTTGATACTAAAGTGGTCGATCAAATTTATATCCGCACAAATACACACACACACATTCAACCATTTGTTCTGAGGTACGCCAAAATGTTCAGAAACCTCTGAAACGTAAAGATATATAAAAATTTTCATTTTCGATTTTTTTGCGATTACTATAACTTACCCTACGGGAAGTTAATAAATAAATATCATTAAAAACACCAATGTCATTTTAGCCCTACAACCAGTGGTGTTGTGCTAATATTTTTTTAACCGGAACGCTAAAAGATAAAAACTGGTTCAAAAACCGTTTCTAATGTTTGTTCCGGTTCCGTTGGAAAAGGAAAGAAACAAAAATCTTTAGAAAACCCATTTTGTGCTTATATATGTATGTTCATTACAATAATAGCCCGGTCAATTTAAACCTAAAATCATGGTGAAAGATACTATAATTCATAATGGGCTGTAACTTGGCAAAATTATTTAAGATACAATTATAAAAGAAATCTCAAAAGTAATCGATCAGACGCGAGCTAAAAAAAAGACCCTTTTGCGATTTTTAGCTAAATGGTCAGTTTTATCGCAAAATTACTTGAGACAATATTGTAGAGCATAAAGTTATCTACAATAAATGCATCGAAAGAAATTTTTTTTTGAATATCGAAAATAAATCAAATTTTAATTGTTTTTCTAGCTGAAGTTCTAAACCTCACTAATATACTCAAAATAATTAATTTTAACTTTGCAATTCAGTTTATATAATTCTTATAAATATTAGACGATGTCCTTCATTTTAAATTCGATTGATTAAGTTTTGTGTATTTAATTTTCTGTAAACATATATAAATTACAGCCCATTATGAATTATATTAACTTACAGTATTTAAAAAAATAATTTGTTTGAAAACATTTAATATTCCTCGAATATTTAATTACGGTGCGGGAAGTTCCAGCAATTTGGTTTAAGGCACGATGCCATTCACCACTAGTTTTAATTTTCCGGATCGCCGGAAAAATGCAATTCTTCATAACACATTTCTTCCTTCTTTCCAGTTACATAACCCACACCCTCGACGCCTTCGTCAACGAGGACTACACCCTAGTCTACTTCCACCAAGGGCTCACCAGCAGAAACAAACCACCTTTGACGTGGCTCTGGCAGGCCTACAAAGCCTTCGACAGGAAATTCAAGAAGAACCTGAAGGCCCTATATCTAGTGCACCCGACCAACTTTATCCGAATCGTTTGGCAAATCTTCAAGCCCGCCATCAGCAAAAAGTTCGGCCGGAAAGTCATGTATGTCAATTACCTTTACGAACTCAGCGACCTGCTGCACTTGGAACAGATGAGCCTGCCTCAGACCATCTTAGAGTAAGGGGAAAAAGATCGATGATATAAAATAATATATTTACTATCTTATGGTTAATTTTGGTATTTTTTTTATTATAGTTTCGATGCCCAATTGTTGTCAAAAAATCCAAAAGCGACGACGGTGACGAATACTCAAGTCGACCGCGTCAATGCAAATGTATCGGCAGTCAGTCATCATTTGCCGACGCAACAATTTGGTGTTTCTTTGCAGTATATTAAAGAAAATCATCCCGATATCGAAGATGATATTCCGCCGATTGTTAGGCAGTGTATCGAGTTTCTGGAACAACCTGATGGTAAAGTATAATTAAATATTTTACATGTGTGGGTTTATATTTTAGGGTGGTCTTTGATATGGCCATTTTTGAATTTCCTTGCTCCTAAGGGCTCAAATGGTTCCAAATTAATAAAAAACAATTCTCTGAAAGTTTCAGCTCCTGATATTAACTTTTAGATAGAGCGCAATTCAATCAAACTTCATATGGAACTAGCATGGAAAATTTTTTGAAAAATTAAAAAAATATTTTTTAGTTATAACTTAGCGACAAATGAATTAAAAATGATAATTCGTGTTATTTTTTATTTAAAATTCGAGGCTCTGCAAAATTTTTGAAAATTTTTTCATGCTATGTCCACACAAAACTATGATTGAATTGCGCTCTATCTAAAAGACAATATTAAGAGCTAAAATTTTCAGAGAATTGTTTTTTATCAATTTGGAACCATTTGAGTCCCTGGGAGCAAGGAAATTTTAAAATGTCAATATTAAGGACCACCCTAGTGTGTATATATATTAGGGTGAACCTTAATATGGATGTTTTCGAATTTCTTTGCTCCCACAGACTCAGATGTTTCCAAATTGTTAAAAAAACATTTTTTGAAAGTTTTAGCTTTTAATATTAATTTTAAGATAGTCCGCACTCCAACCAAAGTTTCTTATAGGTAAAATTCCTTTTGTTTTTTTTGGAATTGTATAACTTAGCGACAAGTGAATAAAAATTTTGAGAATAACATTCTATTCGCTTATTTTGATCGTAAATATAAAAAATACAACAAATATTTGATATATTTTATAAAATTAGTATAAGAACCAAGAAACTTTGTTCGGAGTGCGGACTATGTTAGAGTTAATATAGACTTAAAATTTTCAGATATTTTTCTTTTATTAATTTGGAAGCATTTGATCCTCTGGGAACAAGGAAATTTGAAAATGTCCATATTAAATACCACCCTAATATATATATATATATATATATATATATATATATATATATATATATATTAGGGTGGTCCTTAAAATGGTCATTTTCGAATTTCCTTGCTCCCAGGGGCTCAAATGGTTCCAAATTGATAAAAAACAATTCTCTGAAAGTTTTAGCTCTTGATATTAAGGTTTTGATAGTGCGCAATTCAATCAAACTTCGTATGGAAAGAGCATGGAAATTTTTTTGAAAATTAAAAAAAATGTTTCAGGTATAACTTAGCGACAAATGAATTAGTTTTATTCATTCATTTGTTCGCTAAATTACATCTAAAAAACATTTTTAAAATTTTTGAAAATTTTTTCATGCTATTTCCATACAAAACTATTCCAAATAAATATATTAATATATTATAGAGCTTCGAATAAAAAATCCAAAAAAGTAATAAAAAACAAAAAGGTTTTTTAAAAAACAGAGAAGTAGAAAAAGGTGGATTTTTTATATAAAATGAATAAAATTGTGGAAGAAATAACATTTAAGAAGTTTATATATAATCAAAATGAAAGTAGGAACGAAATTACTTTCCACAATTTTATTAATTTTATATAAAAAATTCACATTTTTCTGCTTTTTTAGCTTTAAATTTTATTTCCTTGACGTTGAAGTATATACTTGAAATGTTTATTTGCAGCTAAATAGTCGAAATAACGAGTAACAAATAAAATATATTTAGTAGAGTTCCTTTTTATATTCTGATGTCTATATTCCAGTGTGATCGTCAGTAGAGTCTTTTTTCCATCATCTTTAAAATATGCTCTTTGGTAGAGTCTCTTATTTCTTTCTTTTGATGTCTAAAATATAGTTTGCTCGTCAGTACAGTTCTTTCTATAACTTTTTTTAAATTTGCTCATTGATATAATTCATTGTTTTCGTTAGTAGAGTCCTTTTCTATGTTTCTTAAAATTTGCTCTCCAGTAGAGTCCCTTTTTATCTTCTCATATCTAAAATTCAGTTTGCTCGTCAGTAGAGTCCTTTTTATATTATCTTTAAAAATCACTCGTCAGTAGAGTTCCTTTTTAATATTATCATGTCTAAAATTTTAATTTGCTCGTCAGTAGAGTCGCTTTATCTTTTTATGTCTAAAATTCAATTTGCTCGTTAGTAGAGTCTCTCTTTAATATTATCATGTCTAAAATTTCAATTTGCTTGTCAGTAGAGTCCTTTTTTAATCTTCTCGTGTCTATAATTCAGTTTGCTCGTCAGTAGAGTCCTTTCCATACTTTTTCGAATTTTGCTTGTCAGTAGAGTCCATTTTGGTCGTCAGTAGATTTTCTTTTAAGTTTTCATTGTATTTTGCTCGCCAGTCGAGTTTCTTATATCATTTTGATACAACAATATTGTTATAAATTATAAACTAACAATTTAAACAAATTCAAAAAAAAAAATTAAAAAAAAAAGATTTCTTTAGTAAATTAAATTAGTTTAGTATTTTTAAATTTAACCAAGGCCTTTGAGTATGACATACACAAATTCCAAGCCCTTGAGCCTTTTAGATTTGTTAAAATGAATTTTTTAAAGTCTCTTTTGCTATTTGTAACATACTGTAGACATTCATACTACTAAATTAAAAAATATTATTATTTTAGTAAATTAAACTAGTTAAGTATTTTTAAAATTTATTCAAAGCCTTTGGGTAAGACATAATAAAATTCCAAGGCTTTAAGCCTTTTAGATTTTTTAACATGAATTTTTTAAAGTCTCTTTTTTTGTAACTTACTGCAGACATTTATACTACTAAATTAAAAAATATTATTATTTTAGTAAATTAAACTAGTTAAGTATTTTTAAAATTTAACCAAGGCCTTTTGGGTATAACATTACAAAATTTCAAGGATTTAAGCTTTTTAGATTTGTTAAAATGAATTTTTTAAAGTCTCTTTTTTTATTTGTAACATACTGTAGACATTTATACTACTAAATATAAAAAAATATTACTTTACCAAATTAAATTAGTTTAGTAGTTTTTCACCAAATTAAATTAGTTTAGTAAACCAAGACCTTTTGGGTAAGATATACTAAATTCCAAGGCTCTAGGCTTTCTACTTTTGATAACACGAATTTTGAAACACAAACTTATCGTTTACTAATAGCTATAATAATTATTATTTTTATTTATTTATTATACGCCAATCGGCTATATACAGTTAAATATATAGTAATGTAACTTACTGTTATCTTATGTTATTTATACTATTACATTATTATTATTATATTATTATATCTATTTATAATTATATTTTTTTAACTTCCCAAAGGAGAAGTTTATGTTTTCATCAAAAAATCCGAATCGCTAATTTTATGTTTTCTCGACGTTTCGAGCCATTCTGAATCGAATGAGACCAAATTTGGAAAAAGTATGTGTGTGTGTGTGTGTGTGTGTGTGTATGTGTGTGTGTGTGTGTGTGTGAACAGATTTTTTGCCGTAAATCGACGTTTTCTCCAAACGGTTGGACCGATTTCAAAATTTAAAAGCCATTAGATGTATCTCGATGAGGACTATCGTCTCTGAGTTTTGTGCGGCGATCGGCCGAGCCGTTTTTCTTTGTAAATTGCAGAAAAGTGAAAAATTTTTCGTCCACGTTTTAGCCCGCAATTCTGAATCGATTCTGAAATTCAAAAACCGTTCGATAGATATTGGTTGGGAATCGTGCTGATTAGTTTCTGGTAAAGATCGGCCAGGCCGTTTTCTTGTAATAAAGTTTTTAAAAAAAAAATTTTGACGATTTGTATGATTATTTTTTGACGAAAGATACCATAGTTTTCTAGGTCATACTAAAATATTACGGCCCTACAACAACTGGTTCAGCTTTAAAAATTCGTCAAAGTTTGCAAAAATCAGTATGGTCTTTTTGGCATTTGTCAAAATTAGACTTTTGATCGACGTTTTCTCAAAAACGCCTGAACCGATTTTAGAAATTTAAAAGCCATTTGATGTATTTCGGTGAGGACTATCGTTTGTCAGTTTTTGTGCAACGATCTGCCAAGCCGTTTCTTCGTAATTTGAAAAAAGTGTTGAACTTTTCGTCCACATTTAAGCTCATCCTACCGAACCGATTTTAAAAAATCAAAAACTGTTCGAAAGATATTAGTTGGGAATGATGCTGATTAATTTTAGGTGAAAATCTACCGAGCCGTTTTCTTGTAATTAACTGTTGAAAAAAAGTGTTAAATTTTCGTCCACATTTAAGCTCATCCTACCGAACCGATTTTAAAAAATCAAAAACTGTTCGAAAGATATTAGTTGGGAATGATGCTGATTAATTTTAGGTGAAAATCTACGGAGCCGTTTTCTTGTAATTAACTGTTGAAAAAAGTGTTAAATTTTCGTCTACATTTAAGCTCATCCTACCGAACCGATTTTAAAAAATCAAAAACTGTTCGAAAGATATCATTTGGGAATGATGCTGATTAATTTTAGGTGAAAATCTACCGAGCCGTTTTCTTGTAATTAACTGTTGAAAAAAAGTGTTAAATTTTCGTCCACATTTAAGCTCATCCTACCGAACCGATTTTAAAAAATCAAAAACTGTTCGAAAGATATCATTTGGGAATGATGCTGATTAATTTTAGGTGAAAATCTACCGAGCCGTTTTCTTGTAATTAACTGTTGAAAAAAGTGTTAAATTTTCGTCCACATTTAAGCTCATCCTACCGAACCGATTTTAAAAAATCAAAAACTGTTCGAAAGATATGATTTGGGAATTATGCTGATTAATTTTAGGTGAAAATCTACCGAGCCGTTTTCTTGTAATTAACTGTTGAAAAAAAGTGTTAAATTTTCGTCCACATTTAAGCTCATCCTACCGAACCGATTTTGAAAAATCAAAAACTGTTCGAAAGATATTAGATGGGAATGGTACTGATTAATTTTAGGTGAAAATCTACCGAGCCGTTTTCTTGTAATTAACTGTTAAAAAAAATTTAAGCCGTTTTTCATGGAACTTTTTTTGGCGATATACATCATGGTCTTACAGAACTTACTGTAATATTACGGCATTACGACAAGTAGTTTAATTTTAGAAATTCGTCAAACTTTGCTAAAATTATTATCGTTTTTTTTTAAGTAGGATTGATGAAGTATATTATTTACACATTTTTTTTATCAAGTCGATTATTTACACATTTCGGGAAGTTCGTGTAATTTGCCTCAAGGCTAAATACCAAACCAACTAGTTTATTTTTATTTCATTTATAGCCTTAGAAACAGAAGGTTTGTTCAGACGTTCTGCCAATGTGACGACGATAAGGGAGTTACAAGATCAGGTGAACAAAGGCGAGACGATAAGTTTTGGTGGTGACCCACATGTTGCCGCTGTTATGCTTAAGACATTCCTTCGAGAACTGGAAGAACCCCTATTGACTTTTGATCTGTATGATGAGATTATACAATTTTTATGTAAGTGCATTTATTTAATGTTAAGTACACGATTATTCAATAGATTTTTATTAAATTACTAGCAAACCCGACGAACTCCGTTTCGCCACCAGGTGGTTTCGTGAGAAAGATGAAGAAATTTTTTGTTTGTTTTATATTTGAAAAGGAAAAATTTGATTTTATTATACAACAGTAATGAATTTATTTCGATTACAAAGATGAAGTGTTTTTTAGTTGAACTTCTCTATGTAAATGAAAGTGAATCCGAAAATTATCCGTTTCATTGAAGTGCTCTTTGGTAAACCACATTTTTTGTTTTTTGGTCTGGCATTAACACTAACAAAGGGGATGGTTTACCAACTCGTGAACAGGCAACGTATAACTGCCCATGTGAAAAACAATGATTTTCTAAATAATCTATTTGAAATTTATTCCGCAAACACTAAGCGATTGGCCTTGCGACTTGTTATTGCAAACGCAAGGCGAACTGAAAATTGCAATCGTTTGAAGTCAAACAGAAGACCAGTCGGAATCATTGGTATGTCACCAAATCGCCAGCAATTTTTTATTGAATGGTGAAATTCAGTGCGTGTACGTCATTATTCTTTGCGGCAAGAATTGCTCGTTGACTTAACCAAGAATAATTCTGTTAAATCTCAATAATGTCATTACTCGAATTTTTAATTACGGTGCGTGAAGTTTCATCAATTTGCATTAAGGCACGATGCCATGCACCACTAATTTTCTTAGCTATAAACCTTGCGGAGCTTTTAGCTATAAACCTTGCAAACCGGTCGTGCGTTCTGGAGTTATTTCATCAGGAAGGAAAACGCGACTTATTTTTATATACATATACGTATATGTAAATTACAACAGTTGTAAAAGGAATTTTGCCTTAAGGACAATTGGAATCTATTAGGAACTTTGTAAGAATGTTATAAGAATTTAGCCCAAATTTAATAAAAATCATTCAGAATCTAGGTGGCAGAATTTGATAAGAAATCAGAAAAAATCTAATAATTCTGGTAAGAATCAACAAGAACCTTTTGTTTCTCGTTAGATTATTGTAAGAATATAATAAAAACATTAATCTTATAAGAATATATAAATAATCTTATTAGAATATTTTACTATTCTTATTGAATAATATTAGAATGATTAATATATCAGATTTGCTCAGATATAACATAATTAGTTTTATTATTAAATCGTAATTTGCTTGCATTTTTTTCAGGTTGGCCTAAAGACGAAAGACCGAAAAGGGTGAAAGTTCTCATATTAGAAAAACTGCCTATGGAAAATTTGAAGCTGCTGGGATTCATTGCTAAATTTTTATGGAAGGTAAGTGAAAATTTAAATTAATATTAACATTTTTGTATACATTTTAATTATTAACTGCCCGAAGGAGACTGAAAAATAAAATTTATATATTCTCGACGTATAAAAGTCATTGCCCTGGTTAACAAAGTTGAAGTTTTACGAATTTTATTAACACGTTGACGGACAATTGCGGCTATAGCCGTCAAAGTGAAGTTCACAATGTGGCATGACTGCTATAGCCGTCCAAAATGAAACGGTCGTTTTTAGACACTACGGCTATAGCAGCACAAATGTGCACTTACTGGCGTATACGTAGAAGCATAGTGTCGTGTTTTGAAAACATCTTTTTAGGTTGAAGTTCATATTTCACCTGTTATACGAGTTGCAGATTCAGTATGCACATGGTTGTGAAGGGGAGTAGTGCGATCGTGTTTTCTATTGAATTTATAGTTCTTATTGATACGTTTAACGATATTTATTATTATTTATATAACTATACTGGTATGTATTTGTTTATTATTCATCTTTCATCTACTGGATGTAGCAGTATGGAATTCTTTCTACATCTTTAAAGAAAAGACAGGTTCTCAAATGAAGTATATAGAGTACAGGGAAGCAATCATACGATCTCTAACTGGTATAGATAATGAACGGGATGGAAGAACTTTGGTTCAATTTAAACGTGCACAAATCCAAACCAATGAAATCAACAACAATGGAACACAACATTTTCCTGAGAAAATTTTACCTCCTGAAAATTATCAGCGAAAAACATATTTTCAGCGTTGTAAACAATGTTATAAACAGGGAATAAGGAGGGAAACATCATATTGCTGCAAGAATTGCATGTCAAAACCTGCACTGTGTCCTGCACCATGCTTTGAAACATGGCATACTGAAAATAATGTATAATAATTATAAAATTATAATAATTTTTTTTGTCATTTATTTATTTTTGTTTGATTAAGAACTAACATTTCGTGTAAAACTCCCAGAAATACTTTGTTGCATACAAAAATTGCTTGTTTGAACCATTAAACCTGTCATTTACGTTTTTAAATTTTTGCTGTTATAGCCGCAATCTAATTAAAGGTACTAAATTAATCAAAATTAAGTTTATTTAAGCAGAAAGAGTAAAACTATACTTCTAACATTCTAAAAATCACAAAAACATATAGTGTCAATTTTCGAACTTCGCTTGTTCCTACTGTCCGTCAACGTGTTAAGAAATTTTAATCATTAGTTTTTAACTTCCCGAAGGGAAACATGTGAAATTAAATGTTTTCATCAAAAAATCCGATTCGCTAAATTTATGTTTTCTCGACGTTTCAAGCCATTCTGAATCGAATGAGACAAAATTTGGAAAAAGTATGTGTGTATGTTTGTGTGTGTGTGTGCACGAACAGATTTTTTGCAGCAAATCGACGTTTTGTTAAAAACAGCTGGACCGATTCAAAAAATTTAAAAGCCACTCGATGTATCTGAATAAGGACTAGCGTTTATCAATTTTACGCGACGATCAACCAAATCGTTTCTTTATAAATAGCAGAAAAGTAAAAAATGTTTTGTCCACGTTTCAGCTCGCAATTCTGAATCGATTTTGAAAATTTAAAAACATAGTCTTCTAGATCATACTAAAATATTACGGCCCTACGACAACTGGTTCAGCTTTAAAAATTCGTCAAAGTTTGCAAAAATTAGTATCGTTTTTTTGGCATTTGTCAAAATTAGATCTTTCATCGACATTTGCTCAAAAACGCCTGAACCGATTTCAGAAATTTAAAAACCATTTGATGTATCTCGATGAGGATTATCGTTTCTCAGTTTTGTGCGACGACCGGCCGAGCCGTTTCTTTGTAATTTCGAAAAAAGTGTTAAACTTTTCGTCCACATTTAAGCTCCATGCTACCGAACCGATTTTAAAAAATCAAAAAAACAAAAACTGTTCGAAAGATATGAGTTGGGAATGGTACTGATTAATTTTAGGTAAAAATATATCGAGCCGTTTTCTTGTAATTAACTGTTGAAAAAAAATTTTAAGCCGATTTTCATGGAACTCTTTTTAGCGATATATATCATGATCTTATAGAACTTACTGAAATATTACGGCCTTACGACAAGTAGTTTAATTTTAAAAATTCACCAAAATTTGAGAAAATGAGTAGTTCTTTTGATATTTGTTAAAATTAAAATTAGACGATTTACTTGGTTTAATGATAGAGTACTTGGTCTCAACTAAACCATTAAATTCCTACGGAAACTGGTTCTAATATAAAAATTCTTGATTTTTGAAAATTTGCTTTTAGAAAATACTCCGAGTTAAAGTATTTTCAATGATGTGTAATAAATCCATCCTCTTGGAATACTTTCAATCACTCAAAAATTTATTTATATTTTATTGACTAAGTCGATACATATCGGGGAGTTCACGCAACTTGCCTCAAGGCTAAATACCAATACCAACTAGTTTATATGTTGACTCTCAAAATCTGTAACACAAAATTTGTCAAATCACCCATATTTGCTGATTATGAGGTATGCCAAAATGTCCAGAAACAAAAGTTTAAATTTCGATCTTTGGACTATTGCAATAACTTAAGATTTGAATACAGACCAAATTTGGAAAAAGTATGTGTATGTGAACAGATTTTTTTACCTTTTGTCGACATTTTCTCAGAAACAGCTGAATCAATTTTAAAAATTCAAAAACCGTTCGAAAGATATTGGTTGGGAATCGACCTTATTTATGGTAGAGATCGGCCGATTCTTGTAATTCACTCTTGAAAATTTGTTTTCCGTGGATTTTTATGATTTTTTTTTTAACGATCTTATACACCATACTAAGATATTGCAACCCTACGACAAATCGTTTAGTTTTAAAAATTCGTCAAAGTTTGAAAAAATAGGGTTTTTGGCGTTTATTGAAATTAGACCTCTAATTGATGTTTTCTCAAAAACGGCTGAACTGATTTCAAAAATTTGAAAGTCATTAGATGTATCTCTATGAGAACTATAAGTATTGGGCGACGATCGGCCGAACCGTTTTGTTCGTAATCTGCAAAAAAGTTTTTTGTCCACGTTCTAGCTCACAATTGAAGTGAACATTTTAGAAGTGAAATTAAAAAAAAAAATCACCCGCGTTTTAACCAATAATTCCTACCCGTTTTTTGTAAATTTAAATACTATTCTTATAATACTTATAAATCACTCATGAATTAATATATTGTTTTATTATTGACTAAGTCGATTATTTACACATGCAGGGAAGTTCATGTAACTTGCCTTGAGGCAAAATACCACTCAAAACTAGTTTTATATAATTTAATACGTATAAATTTTGCCAAAGAAACGGCTTGGCTAATTTTTGCCAACGATCAGGTCGATTCACGACTGATATCTTAAAAACTATTTTTAAAATCCAGATTATGATTTTTTGTGAGAACCACAAAAAATTTAGCATTTTTTTTTGGAAGTTACAAAGAAACTGCTTGGCCTATCATTGCATAAAACTGACAAACGTTTGTCCTTATCGAGATACATCGAATGGCTTTTAAATATTTGAAATCCGTCAAGCTGTTTTTATGAAAACGTCGATTTAAAGCAAAAAATCTGTTCACATACACGCACACACATACTTTTTACAAATTTGGTCTCATTCAATTCAGAATGGCTTGAAACGTCTAGAAAACATAAAATTAGCGAATCAAATTTTTTGATGAAAACTTAAACATCTCCCTCGAGAAGTTAATAAGTAATTTCAAACTATTACTCGGAAAGTTAAACTATTACTATTTAAATTCTCGATCCTTTCCTCCCCAGGTGATGGACAGGTGCGACCTGAACAAGATGACCTCCTCCAACCTGGCAGTAGTTTTCGGGCCAAATCTGGTTCGTCATCAGACCTGCACAATGTCACTGCAGGCAATTGCACCGATAAATGCATTTACCGATTTCATGCTGCAGAACCAAGAGTCTATTTTTATTGTGTAAGTGATGATCATAATCATAATTGATGATGGACTAATTATTACGATGCATATTTAATATGTATTCAATAGGTAATGTGAAAGAATTTGTTTAATTAAGTCAATTAATGGTAAAAAAAATAATGCTGATGTTGGTTTGTTTTCGTTCGAGAGACTTGTTGAGATTTTATATGAAAGAGGATCAAAATAGTTAGTGACTACTTATGTTTGTATAATATGCAGAATTTTATGATATTTGTTAATGCGGAGCAAGAACCGGTAAAAAAAATAAGTAGAAAAATATTATATTACAAGATAAACCGACAGACGTCCTGTACCCATGTCTACAATTTTTTAATATAATATACTAATATTTACCGTTTACCTAAAAATAATAATTATTGTTTTTTAAATTACTCTTTACGCCAAAATGCATATACATTTATAATATGAGCGATGTTAAATGTACAACTGCTTTAAGGGGGTTGTTCTTTTTTTTGTTACAAAACATGCAAGTTTTGTTGTTTTTCTCGAAATGTATTTATCATAAAGACATGCGGTTTTTTTCAAACAAAAATTACAAAATCATAGAATATTAAGCATTTTTTTATTTTATTTTTTTCGCCGTCATTTTTTAACCAGGGGGCGCCAAAGTGGGCATTGCAAAATCGATCTCGTTTGCGGTGCCACAGATAAATCCGTTGCGCATCGCCTGAAACAAAAAAAGTGTTAAAAAGGGCCTTTTTTTGGGACGAGAAGCTTCGCAAAATTTTTTTGCGTAATGTTATCAAGTTGTTTGAGGTAGGGGGACTAGGTATTGCAGTGGTGAACATATTAAAAAAAAAATGCAAGTCGATCCGTTTTTTTTAAATTTGTGGCACCGCATTGAAAAAAGTCAATTTGAGAAAAACGTATTTAAAGTTTTTAATATAATGTACTAAATACACCATTTAATTTAATGCACGAAATACACCATGGTGTTCAAAGATGCTGACACATTAAAAAGGTCATGTGCATGAGGTATTATAATGAAAAAGAGAGCAGCTGGCATACAATAGCTCCGGAGCGATGAAAAAACGGTTTCAGAGGATCATACGTATAGAGATATATATATCTATAACTTCGTCAAAAAAAAGATATTGAGATGATTTTTTTTTTAAATAATTCTAAGGTTTTTAGCTTTCGTAATATCAAAAAATCTCAAAAGCGAAACCAAAAAATATAAAAAAGGAACAACCCCCTTAAATAAAATAATGAGTCTCAATTCCAACACTATATTGGAAATTGAAGTCTCTTAAACGGTATAACATAACCATAACCATAACCAAACACTGGTATTTCATGTTAGATTAAATTAATTTAATTTTTTATTATTTAAGATATCCAAAATTGCATCTTAAACTTCTCCTAATCGATATTGTGAGGGTCTAATTGTATGTATTCATTTTTACTTTTCCATTTGTTGTTATAAAGTGAAATTTGTACGAATTTTAAAAATATTGTTGAAAGATTAGTAACAGATGCAAAAAAATTATATATTGAAAATTTAATATCCGAATCTTGCGTTGGCGCCCCCTAAGGCGTGCGCTCGTATTTTTCGCATTCATCGCATTAAAGATGGGACCGGCCCTGATTAATACTTCATTTCATATTTTGAATGAATTATATTTGTCACATTTGTTCATATGTGTATAATTCAATCTGCCATACATATACTGTATTTTATATTATTTTAATTTCTGGCACATCTCAGCTGCTTTTCGGCAATAATAACGTAGACATTTTATTTTTCTTATTCATAATCATAAATTTATTATACATATTCTAATATTGTCTAGGTTCATTAGTAAATTACCGTACCGTAATGAAACAATCGAGAAATTTTAAACGTTTATAATAACTTCTTATTATTTCTGCTGAATATTTGTCGATTTTCAATGCATTCTTGTTAAATTTTTATGAATCTCCAGTAACTTAATTCATTTTTATTTTTATTTTTATTTTTAACGTCTATATAAAAAAAATTAACTAGTGGTATATGGCATCGTGCCTTAAGGCGAATTGCTGGAAGTTCCCGTACCTTAACGAAATATTCAAGGAATATTGAATGTTTATAATAACTTTTTATTAATTTTGATGAATTTCTGTCGAATTTCAATGCGTTCTTGTTTAATTTTCATGAATCTCCAGTAATTTAATTCATTTTTATTTTATTTTTAACGTCTATATAAAAAAATTAACTAGTCGTGCCTTAAGGCAATTTGCTGGTACTTCCCGTACCGTAACGAAATATTCAAGGAATATTAAATATTTATAATAACTTTTTATCTCTAATAATTTTTTGTCGATTTTTAATGCGTTCTTGTTGAATTTTCATCAATTTTCAGTACTTTAATTCATTTTTATTTTTATTTATAACGTCTATATAAAAAAAATTAACTAGTGGTGTATGGCATCGTGTCTTGAGGCAAATTGCTTGAACTTCCCGTACCGTAACGAAATGTTCGAGGAATATTAAATATTTTCATATACATTATTATAAATACTGTAACTTCGTTCATTATTTGTATTTTATAGACAAAATATAACTGCTTGAGCTTATACATAGGACGACGACGTTTATATATGTTTGTATAAAAAGTAAATAAACAAAACTTGCCTTTGCCAAAAACTAATCAGCACGTCTCCCTATCAATAGGAATCGATGGCTTTTTGAATTATTCAAATTGATTGATCCATGCGCCCGAAATCGTCGACGAACAATTGTATCCACACATACATACAAATCCATTTTTGCTACCATAATGTTCAGAAATCTCTGAAACGTGAAGATATGCAATAATGTTCATTTTTGATTTTTCGACGATTACAATAATTTGATGAATGAATTTATTAAATATTATAAACTAGCCCGTTATCGTTTATATTAAATTTTTATCGATCTTAAATTAATATATGTGAAATTTTCATCAATATTTAATAAATTCTTTGATTTTTTAGTTTTTATTACTTTAAATTAGTTTTTTGTAATTTTTATTCAATCTTTTGTCTGTCTTAAATGCATTTTTGTTGAATTATCATCACATTTTAATTTTTTTCATTGATCTAATGAATTTTCAACGTTTAAATCAGCTTTTTGTCATTTTTATTCAAATTTTATCCATACCAAATGATTTTTTTGTAAATTTTCATCAATCTTTAATAAATTCATTGATTTTCTGTCGTTTTTTGATAAATTTTTGTAATTACGAATTATACTGAATTTATATTTATAAAACATATTTAACTGAATTTATGTTCATAAACTTTTGTCCATGTTTAATGAATTTTTAATAAATTTTCATCGAATTTTAATCAAATTTAAATTAAACCTACTGAATTTGCAAAATAATTGATGTAGTTGTTTTAGTTTTAGATTTGCTTAATAAATTGCTTAATTCATTTACTTAAAACATAAAAGAAAAAGAACTTTACTGACAGTTTTTTAAATATTTTAATATTTACAAATTTATCCTTCTATTTACCAGTTCTTGCTCTTCGATTCAACCAATCGAATAACCCTACTTATGAATTATTTTTATACGAACACACAATCGAAGTATTTATATTTAAATATAACTACAAACCTAAAATTTTAAAAAAAATGGGTGTCTTCCTCAGGAAGTTAAGTAGCACACATGTAAATTAAAAATATTGTTAACGAAGAAAAATATGAGCTGTCGATAAATATATATATATATATATATATATATATATATATATATATATAAACAGCTCATATATTTGTATACATTGTTTATATTAAATCCAAAGTTAGATATTAAATTATATATTGTAATTATATAACACTTATTAATAAAGATCTAAGTATATAATACAAAATTTTCAATTTATTCATATTAATACTAATTTTAATTTATTTATAGTCTGTTTTAATTAGATTTATCGATATCTTTTGGAGGATGAAAAAATATTCAAGAGAAGTAATCAAAATTCATGTATTTATTCGAGATGAATAAAATAAGTTTGAAGACAAGCAAACATGAATGGGTAATAAAGAATTAATTGAAAAATGTTACAGGTCAGTTCTTTAATTTGTAATTCCTTTCATCGAGTTAAGTATATTTTGTGAATAGATTCGTGCGTAGATAAATTTTGGAGAGTAAGTCAAGTTAATGGTGAGTGACTATATAATTACATATTTTAATTATAAATACATATTATAGTTCAGATTATTTAAAGATTAATTTATTTTTATTTTTACTAAATACCAATAAATAATTTTACTCGATTTAGGCAGAAATTTAGTTGATATTTCAGAAATGTTGATTTAATATCTTTTTTACATTTTTTATAGCAATTTATTATTAATTTATATTATTTAATTTAATTGTTTAAATGTTCTTTTAGTATAATATGAAGTATTTTTTGTATATATATTTTAATTCGAGCTTTCATTAAGTTTCTTTGTTTCTAAATTTTAGTTTGACTAAAGAATTTTTGCCGTTTTTTTTTAGAAAATATTTAAATAATTCTTACTGAACTTTAGTCGATTCTCAAATAAGTTTGAACGTTCCAATGAAGTTTTGTATGATTTTAATAGGTTTCTGTGGATTTTTGTATGGATTTTATATGGTTTTAACTAATTTTGTCGATTTATATTATTTTTGTCTTTCTATTTTTATATTTTTATGAACCTTTTTCTATTTATATTGCCTTTACTGGATTTAATTAAATTTGTATTGATATATTATTTATAATTTTTTGACTTAATATGCTGAATTATGTTAAACCATGTTGATTTTATTACTTTATTAGTTTATTTTCACTAATCTTTCATAAAATATACTACTTTTCATCGATTTTCCAATTTATCCGCTTATTAAAACAATTCTTGAAGTCATCAATGTCTTTAACCAATGATTTGAATTTCGCGGTACTTCATTTTCTTCGCGCGCTTCTAACTTCATGCCATTGACATTTTCCGCGAACGTCACATCAGTTAACAAATGACATTTATTATGTGTTGAACACAAAAGGATACATAACCTTAAAAATGTGAAATTAAAATAATAAATATTTATTCAATTTAAATAATATATTACAAGTAATTAATAGTTTAGTCATGACTAATGTAGTGTTGACTAAAAATAACAAGAAGACACAAGTGGACGATTTACAAAAACTTGACAAAGAGGTAATAAATATGCAATTGTAAGAATAAATTTTTATACAACTTATGTGTGAATATTTATAATAATGGCGTGGTTTAGCAATTAAATACAGTTTTTTGGTAAGAGATACATTATTTGTGCTCATAATAAATAAGTTTTGTGGGTAAATAATTGATATTTTTAAAGTCTTCTGAATTCTAATCTCTAATATTTGTTTTTGCAAACATGACAGTTAGTGTTAATTACCATTATCATAAATTACAGAATTGAAGGTATATTATACTAAAAATTTTGTTTTAAATATTTAAATATATAGCAGTAACACAATTGGTTTTCTTGACATTTTTTTTGATAATTTTAAGTTTTAGTTTTCATCTTGTCTATATATACTATCACATTTTTGTTATTTGTCAGTCATTTAAATACATTCTTTGTTACTTTCTTTATATTGCATCAGTATTAGCATTATTTAATGTCAATCATTTGAATAATTAAAATATATGATATGTATAAATACTTTGTACAATCTTTCATCGACCAGCCACTTTCCTTCGACTGTGATATACAAAATATATATTACACTTAGAAATAAACAATTAATAATAATAATAGTAATAAAAAAGTACTTGTAACTTTAAATAGTAAGACAGTTTTGTTTAAATAGTATCAGGTCGTTTTGCATTATTGTTATATTTTAAAATTTTAAGGTTTTTTGTTTCGGTTTGTACAATGTTATAATTTTTATAGGTTATCTTTTATATTTACATACTTATATTTATTTATATATATATATATATATATATATATATATATATACATATATATATAATACAACTTTTTTATCGATTTGTCGATTATCATTTATTTATACTCACATAAGGTTTTGTTTATATTCTAAAATAAATTATCCAGTTATTTTTCCTTTCACAGGACCTGATAGCCAAAATAATCCAACTCGAAGCCCACAACACGCAGTTGAAAAATATAATACAGAAATCACAAGCTGGCAGTGAAAAAGATGTGAATGAAAAATATAAAGGCAAAGGATATGATTTTGCAAAGTAATATTGAAACTAATATCATTATCAATATATTGTGTTTATTTTATGATTATATTTTTATTGATTTTGGTTTCAGTTCATACAGCAGACACATACTTTTGAAGTTTTATTATCTCGGATGGGATTATAATGGTTATGCTAGTCAAGAGGATAGTACGAAGACTATCGGTGAGTAATATACAGTCGAGACATGATTATGCTTGTTATATATATATATATATATATATATATATATATATATATATATATATATGATTTGTAGAAAAACTTATTCACAATTGGTTTACAATTTTTCCTAATTCTTTGTATTATGCAATTATTTTAGTTTTATAATTAATTCATTTAATTAAATTCACCTTTTTTCAGAATATCATTTATTTAAAGCCTTAACAAGAGCATGTCTTATAGAAAGTCGACAAACATGTAACTATCACAGATGTGGTAGGACCGATAAGGGTGTCAGCGCCTTTAGTCAGGTAAAATAAAATAAATAAATATATAGTTGAATTGCAATTTTATTCAATCTAATCATAATACAGTAACTTTAATCGTGAAGAAATAAATAAATAAATAGGAAGTAAATGTAAACAAAATAATCAAAGAATAAACAGAAAAAGTTAAGATACAAACAATAACTAATCAAAATAACAAATACATACGTTTAAAATAAAACAAATATTTAATAATAATATATTAATATTTGAATAAATACATATACATACATGTAGTAAAGTGAAAACAAGATTCTAAATATTAAGAGATAAATTATGTTTACAAATATTGATATTAAAGTTTGATATCTCCCAGAAGTGTTTTCTTTAATATCATTTCAAGAATTCAAATAAGTAAAACATGATTCAGAAAATCTTATAAGGTATTTCGATAAATGACCATTTAAAGAAAATAATTCATAATGTATTAAAAGCATGTTTATGTTTATAATCAATTATTTGTTTAGAGTTTTCCATTTTATAGGTTATGTGACTGTACTCTTTTTTTCCACAGGTCATTTCCCTTGATATTCGAAGTCGTCTGTCACCAGAAGAACAAATGAATGAGGAATCTCGAGATAAAGAATTAAATTATTGTCATATTTTAAATCGTCTACTGCCAAGTGAGATAAGATGTGTCGCTTGGGCTGCTGTGAAAGATTCAGATTATAGTGCAAGGTAAGAATTGAAAATATAAATTAATAGAACATATATATATATATATATATATATATATAAATATATATACATATATATATTTAGGGATGGTTCTGGGGTCCTCAGCGCCGCATGCAATTTTTTTTCCAGCACCCTCCCCCCGCCATTGATTTTAACTGTTTTAACAGTTTATCATTAAAATTATATAAATATTTACGTAATTTTTTTAAATGAATTCTTATACAATCTGGATTTAGTACACAAATGATTAGATATAATCTAGAAGCATATAAAATTCATTGGTTTCAAATTCATTTATTACATAGAGGCAATTCACGGGTTGATTATAAACAAAAAAAAACTAGCCTTTCGTTTTTAAACATAACACTCGTATTTCATGTTGGAACTTTTAAATTTTAATTTATTTTATTTTTTATTATTCACAATATTCAAAATTGCATCGTTAACTTCTCCTTATTGATATCGTAAGAGCCGAATTGTATTAATCTTTACTTTCCCATCTGATTCAGAGTATCAGATTGTTGTTTTAAAGTTAAATTTTCAACGTATTTTAAAAGTATTGTCCAGAGATTAGTAAGCAAAATATTACATGTTATTTAAATTATATTAAAAAAACTAATTACATTTGTATCTGTATTATTCCTGCATAGTTAATAATTAAATTTAGAGTAGGGGCACCACTAGGTATAAAAAACGCTTTACAATTTTTGTTCCAAAGTAAATTTTACTTCCATTTTTCATATTTGTTCCATTTGCATAACACTAACCACGCATGTCTTCAACATTCAAAGTTGAAGTTGAACAAAAACAAAAATTACAATTCAATTTCTCGGAATAAATAAGCCATTTTCTAAGCACTGATTTCCCATTTTTCAATTTTTCTTTTATAATTTGTATCTATTTTTTTTAACAAGTTCCGTTTCAACTGAACTTAATATACATCTATAACATTTATAAATATGATATTGAGAATGAAACGTTTTGCAAAAATATAAAAATAATATATAAAATGTCGAAATGCTAAAATGAAGTCAATTCATACAGAATTGTTGCTTTTATATTAATTTTAAATCGATACGAATATAATTTTTAGGGTATAATTAAATTTTTTCATGTTGCTTTGATAAGTTGTAAATGGTATTGAATTTATTTCAATTATTAAAATATCTATATCGATTAAGTAATTTGACTGAATTTTTACCTATTTTCAATGCAATTTTGTTACATTGTTAATTAATCCCATTGATGGTAGTTTTTCTGTAGATATATATTAAATTTATGTGATTTCTGTTAATTTTTTTGACTTATATTTCAATTTTTATTCATTATCAATATGGTTTTATGATAATATTACATTTTTATCGATTTGTAATCAAATTTAAGAAAATTTGTCTACTCTCTTTGAAATTCGCGATTTAACTTTCTATTGTGTTTTTTTAAATTTTAGTTGATTTTTGTTTTGATTTGACTTTGATTTGTTTTAATTTAGAATTTGTTGTTTGTTACTGGTTTTTTGTTTATTTCAAATGAAGATGATGATCAACAATATATATTGTGTAGAGCTTCGAAAAAAAAATCCAATGATAATAAAAACTAAAAAGATTAAAAAAAAAAAAAAAATTAAAATTTATTCCTATTCGACATTTCGGAAATAAGTAATTGGGATCTTAATTAAAACTCGAAATTGTTATGTAATAACAATAAAAATATTTTATTTTTACAGATTTAATTGCAAAATGAGGACGTACCATTATTATTTTCCACGAGGGAAACTAAATATAAATGTAAGTCTTTTATAACTTCTTAGTCAAATTCTTAAAAAGTTATAATTGAAGGAAAAAAGTAAATTTCAATAAAGTATTTTTTTTTAATTAAAAACAGGTTCAAATTGATTTACTACAATGCATTATTATTAAATATACTGTATACATATAAATTGATTTTGAATCAATGAAATTTGAAATAAATAATGAATGAAAGAACATTGAGCAAGCTTTTAATAATTTTTTATTATATCGGGTTGTCTAAACATTTTTTTTTAACATTGTAGTTTTTCAAAGAATATTCATATAGGATTTATGAGAGAGTTGTCACTTTGACTGTAAAACGTGTAACCAATGAGTCTAATTTAAAAAAAAAAAAACATACTTCATAACTGAAATGAATTGTTAGAAAAAAAAAACAACTTAGACTCAATTTTTTAGACTTAAAGTGGATATTAAAATTTTAATTCCTATTTTGAAGGTAATGCAAGATGCTTGTAAGCTTCTGATAGGCAGTCATGATTTTCGAAATTTGTGTAAAATGGATGTTGCGAATGGAGTCATTGATTTTATGCGAACTGTGAAAGATGCTGAAATAATTTGTGTTTCAAAACAGTTTAAGGATACTGAATCAGGTACATTATTCATTTGTTTATTTATTTCAAAATATGTTAGATTATTAATTAATGTTGCATGGCATTGTGCCTTAATGCAAATTGCTAGAAATACCCTATTGTAATTAAATATTTAAAGAATTTTTAATGTTTTCAAATAGATTATTATAAATATGGCAACTTCCATTATTCGTATTTCATAGACAATTTATAAGAACTTATAAATTAGAAATAATGAAGCAGAGTTAGATTGAAGGACCTTATCTCATATCTCTAAGAATCATTCTAATCGGACGATTCATTCTCAAAATAACAGCTATTTTTTGCAATCTTTGCTCTATATCTCCCAAACGGGTGGACCTGCCTTTGCAAAAAACTAATCAGGACATCTATCCATCAATACGAACTGAATGTCTTTCAATCTGATCGGATGCCTCGTTCTTGCAAAAAACCGAACTCTAATTTTCTACATATCATGGATGTTTTTGCTTTGAGAAATCAAGTGTATAGTCCACGTTTTTTTTTCAATTTTTTACCCAAAATTTTTGATTTTTAATGTTTTTTTTTTGCGTGTCAAGGGTCCACGATCTTTCAAAAAAAAAAAAATTAATTTGAAAAATTAAATTTTATAAAAATTTATGGGTATATGGGCTCACATTTTATCTAAAAAAAAATCCATAATTAAAAAAGAGAAATATTAACAAAATTGTTCACGCGCGCAAAATTGTTTTATTTTTTTTTTTAAATCCTATTGAATGTTTAAAACTATTGCTTTATTTTATTAAAAAAAATATAATCCAAAAATGTTTAAAAAAATTATTTACGCGTGAAAAATTTAAATTTTCTAAAAAACGGATTTACGTCTTTTTTTTTAAAAAAAAAATTCGAAATATTTTAACCAAATTATTTGCGCATCTTTACAATCTTTATTGATAAAATCGTTTTTAGTGAAAATGTGTTAGTGCATAATAAATACATACATACAGGTAATTGACTCTGTTTTTTCTCACCCTGTTTTTAAAATTTTCTAACTTTCTAACATTTTTAATATTTTGTTATATAATCCGCTCATTTATTTTTATTATTTTCATTTTAATTATATCGTCATATTTTTGTAATGTTATTTTCTAAATTTAATTCCGAAATTTTAAGTTTCTAACAAAATTATTTTAATAATTATATTTTCTAAAAAATTAAGAGAATATACCAAGTTAAAAAAAATTCAAACGGAATGATTTTTTGACAAAATTATTTGCGTGTGCAATTTTCTAAGAATCGACTTTCATCAAAATTTTTTAGAAAATTTGATTTTTCAAAAAATTGAGTCTTTTAAAAACATTAAAAACTAGTCTAAAAAAACTTTTTTTCGAAAATTTTGCAAAAAAGATGTTTTTTAACAAAATTGTTTGCGTATGCAAAATTTTTCCAAAATCGACTTTTTTCAAAGTTTACTCAAAAATTAAATTTTCAAAAAAATCAAGAGTACACGTTTTTTTCAACAAATATGCAAAAAAAAATCAATAAACATATTGAAAATAATAAATTAGTCAATAAAATAGATTAAACTCACTTACAATTAAAAGCTAATTTCAACTTTCATCATAAGATATGTCTTTTTTAATTTTATTTGGAAATGGAAAATCGAATCGAAATCGAAAATTTTAAAAATGTTCTTTAGTTATAACTTAGCGACAAATGAATTAAAAGTGACAATTCGTGTCATCTTTTATTGAAAAATCGACGCTCTGCAAAACAGGTTGTTTATAATTTATTTTGTAGAGCGTCGAATTTTGAATTAAACTCATTTATTTGTCAAGTTATATCTAACATTTTTTAAATTTTTGAAAATTTTTCCATGCTTTTTCCATACAAAACTTTGATTGAATTGCGCACTATCTAAAAGACAATATTAAAAGCTAAAACTTTTTTTTTCAAGGAAATTCGAAAATGGCCATATTAAGGACCATTTTAATATATATATATATATTATATATATATATATATATATATATATGTATATTATATATGTATGTAATCTTATGTATAATATTTTAGGGTATGACATGTTCGCTTTCAAGATAACATCGAAAGCTTTCCTTTGGCACCAAATCCGTTGCATCATGGCTATCCTGTTACTAATTGGAAATGGATGCGAAGAACCCAGTATCATCACTGAATTATTCGATGTGGAAAAGAATGGATGGTAAGTCTGAAAAAAAAATCAAAACAAATGTTATTAATAATAGATAAAGAAATCTATGATTGCAGTAGAATTATAATTAGATTAATAAGTATAATATATTATTAACTATCTGAAAAAGAAAATTTATATTTATATTTATATTTTATATTTTATATTTTATATTTATTAACTTCCTGAAGGACAAGTTTATGTTTTCATCAAAAAATCCGATTCGCTAATTTTGTTTCTCGACGTTTCAAGCCATTCTGAATCGAATGAGACCAAATTTAAGAAAAAAATTATGTGTGTGTTTGGAAAAAGTATGTATGTGTATGTGAACAGATTTTTTGCCGTAAATCGACGTTCTCTCAAAAACGGCTGGATCGATTTCAAAAATTTAAAAGCCATTCGATGTATCTCGATGAGGACTATCGTTTCTGAGTTTTGTGCGGCGAGCGGCCCGGCCGTTTCTTTGTAAATTGCAGAAAAGTGAAAAATTATTCGTCCACGTTTTAGCCCGCAATTCTGAATCGATTCTGAAAATTCAAAAACCATTCGATAGATATTGGTTGGGAATCGTGCTGATTAGTTTTTGGTAAAGATCGGCCGGGCCGTTTTCTTGTAATAAAGTTTAAAAAAAAAATTTCGACGATATTTATGATTTTTTTTGACGGTAGATACCATAGTTTTCTAGGTCATACTAAAATATTACGGCCCTACGACAACTCGTTTAGCTTTAAAAATTCGTCAAAGTTTGCAAAAATTGGTATCGTTTTATTGACATTTGTCAAAATGAAATCTTTGATCGACGTTTTCTCAAAAACGCCTTAACCGATTACAGAAATTTAAAAGCCATTTGATGTATTTCGGTGAGGACTATCGTTTGTCAGTTTTGTGCGACGATCTGCCAACCCGTTTCTTTATAATTTGAAAAAAAGTGTTAAACTTTTCGTCGACATTTAAGCCCATCCTACCGAACCGATTTTAAAAAATCAAAAACGGTTCAAAAGATATTAGTTGGGAATGGTACTGATTAATTTTAGGTGGAAATCTACCGAGCCGTTTTCTTGTAATGAACTGTTGAAAAAAAAATTTAAGCCGATTTTCATGAAACTTTTTTTGGCGATATACATCATGGTCTTATAGAACTTACTGCAATATTACGGCCTTACGACAAGTAGTTTAATTTTAAAAATTCGTCAAACTTTGCTAAAATTATTATCGTTTTTTTAAAGTAGGATTGATGAAGTATATTATTTACACATTTTTAACTTCCCGTAGGGTAAGTTATAGTAATCGTCCAAAAATCGAAATCAAAAATTTTTACATTTCTCGACGTTTTGAAGGTTTCTGAACATTTTGGCATACTTCAGAAAAAATGGATGTGTGTGTGTGTGTGTTTTGTATGTCCGCTTTTTTTCGTCCACGTTTTCGGGCGCACGGATCAACCGATTTGAATGGTTTAAAAAACATTCGATTCCTATTGATAGGGAGATGTGCTGATTAGTTTTTGGCAAAGGCAGGTCCAGCCGTTACGGAGATATGGAGCAAAGAGTGCAGAAAATAGAAAGCGAGTTTTGAGGGGAACGGATCAACCGATTTGAATGGTTTAAAAAACATTCGATTCCTATTGATAGGGAGATGTGCTGGTTAGTTTTTAGCAAAGTTAGGCCCGGCGGTTCCGGAAATACAAGCTAAATGTTAAAAAAATGACAGTTTTTGAGAGAACTAAGTGTCCGATTTAAATTACTTAAAGAACTTTCTGCTTGTTTCAACAAAATAATTGATTTTGGAAAAAAAAATTTTTTGTTTCTAATTTTTTTTTCAAAAATTTTTTTTTGTAATTTTGGATTAAAAATTCAAAAAATTACCCAGGCTAAGCACAGTCTAAGCGCCACTCTGGTACAAATGTTTACCTGAGTGCGTTTTAGACTGTTTATGTACTGGAGCACTTTTCCAATTTTGTGAAAACTATTGAATGAAAATGTGAAAATGCCGCCAAGCTAAGCACAGTATAAGTGAAAATGTCGCATAGAATTATTTGCAAATGTGTTTAGACTGTGACTATACGGGAGCACTTTTTCAATAAGGCAACTATTTTTTTTTAAATTAAATTCGAAATGAAATGACGAACGATTGTTAATGTTCTGGATATAAATTGATTTATTTGTAATTTACATTTGATTTACTCAGATATAACAAGATAGCAAAAATAATGAAAGTTACAGTATTTGTAATAATATATTTGTAAACGTTTAGAATTTCTCAAATATTTCATTACGGTATGGGGAAGTTTCAGCAATTTGCCTTAAGGCACGATGCCATACACCACTAGTTTGACTTTTATCTATTTTCAGCAAACCGCAATACAGTTTGGCCTCGGATGTCCCATTGAACTTGTACAGAACTCGATACGATCTCAACGAAGCCAGGACCTATAAAGTCGATCCGGCTGATTTTAATCCCGACGATTTGAATTTCGATGAAAACAAAGACTGGTGCTTCGACAGAGATAATTTGAGGCACGTCATCGAAGAATTGCAAGGACAATGGACACAGCAAAATGTTAAGTAAGTTAATAATTTAATTGAAAGTACCTAATACCTACCCAATGTCTCTAACGATTAAACATTGGTACGAAACCCATAGAAATGTAAATAAAATTTGTTCTTATTATTAAAATTTCTATCTGATGATTTGATGTGCATTAGCCTAATGATCATTTTTGAACGCCAAATGGTTTTATTTTACTTGTTTTTATTGGACTTCTAAAAAGCTCGATCTGCCTTACCAAAAATTTAATCAGCACGTCTCCTTATCAATAAGAATCGAATGGAAAACCTAGTGGTGTATGGCATCGTGCCTTAAGGCAAATTGCTGGAACTTCTTGTATCGTAACGAAATGTTTGAAGAATATTAAATGTTTTCAAATAGATTATTATAAATACTGTAACATTCATTATTCGTTTTTTGATTATTTCGGTTAATTTGATTTCTTGGTTATTTCGCTTAATTTGGTTTTTTGGCTAATTTGTTGTTTTGGTTTTTCGGTTAATTCATTTTTTTTATTAATCTGATTTTTTGGTTATTTCGGTTAATTTAATTTTTTGGTTATTGCGGTTTTTTTTTTGTTATTTCGGTTAATTTGGTTATTTGCCTATTTCGATTAATTTGTTTTTTTTTTTGTTATTATTTCGGTTAATGTGTTTTTTTATTATTTTGGTTGATTTGTTTTTTTTGTTATTTTGGTTAATTGTTTTTTTCGGTTAATTTGTTTTTTTGGTCATTTCGGTTTTTTGGTTATTTTGTTTATTTCGGTTAATTTGGTGTTTTGGTTAATTTTTTTTTGTTTATTAACTTCCCGTAGGGCAAGTTATAGTAATCGCAAAAAATCGAAAATGAAAATTTTTATATATCTTTACGTTTCAGAGGTTTCTGAACATTTTGGCATACCTTACAATTAGAAAAAATGGATGTATGTGTGTGTGTGTGTATGTATGTATGTATGTATGTATGTATGTATGTATGTATGTACGTGTGTGTATGTATGTGCGGATACAAATTTTCGTCGACGATTTCGGGAACACGGATCAACCGATTTGAATAATTCAAAAAACATTCGATTCGTATTGATAAGGAGACGTGCTGATTAGTTTTTGGCGAAGGCAAGTCCAGCCGTTCCGAAGATACGGGGCAAAAAGTGCCAAAAACGGTACCTCCGTTTTTAAGAGAACGGAGCGTTCGATTTGAATAATTCAACTAGCTATAAGTGGAATTCTGTCTTAAGGCAATTAGGGCATCGTGCCTTAAGGCAAATTGCTGGAACTTCCCGTACCAAAAATTATTATTTTTTAAAAACGATTAACATTTTTGAAAAAATTTTACTTCGAAAAATAGATTTTTGAGAAACTATAAATTTTTTGAAAAAAAAAAGTTTTCTTCATTTTGATATATTTTGAAAATTCTGAACTTTTTTCAAAGCAATCGCACTGCTTGAACTACATAGAGACGAAATATCGAAGCGCGCAAGTGCCGCGCCGCCGTCTAACGCATAAGCATTGGTACGGAACCTACAGAAATGTAAAAAAAA